AAGCTTCACCATCACCCTAGCAAGCAAACTACTCTAGCAACATCATCAAATCAACAAACAACTATAGAAAACAAGAATCAACACTCTAAGAAGAACAATTACTCTAATCAAAGATCAAAGATCAAAATCCAATTAAAACAAATCAAACAAAAATGAATATTAAACAAAACAATAAATGAGATAGAGTTTAGAAAAGCTCATTGATAATAGAGAAGACCTCCACTACAAATGTCACCATTGAATCTTCAATCTCTCAATCACCATAGAAATTCCTCACTTTCTCTCTCTAAAATCTACTCCTAAAACAAGATAGAGAAGCTCTCAACTAAGCTATAAATATGATCAAAATCTAATATGAAAACTTGCCCCAAAAATCGGGTTTACAAAGATATTTATAGAGGCGCAAAAACACCAAAAGCCGAGCAACAAATACCCCGGAAGGCGTGCCCGCACAGCAGAGGAGGTGCACCCACACCATGGGGAGGTGCGCCTGCGCCACCTTGTGGAGTGCCCGCACCCGAGCTTTGTGCGCCCGCGCTTTTCTGGTTTCTTCGAAATTCTCACGCCTTCGTGCATTCGCTAAGGTCGAAAAACTATGATGATGATGAACACTAGGAGTGGCAGTAGTTAATGCTCTTGATTAGTGGGTACACCACTTCTTAATGGTAGCATGGCATGAGAGCACAAGAGCCAAGACTTTGAATTTCCACTTCCTTGCATCTTTAGCTTTCCAAAGGCCGTGAGCTTGCTCCAAAGGCTTTCTCCACCTTAGTAGATCACCAATATCAAGACCCGAACCTCGTACAATACCTACAACCACGAAAATAGAGAAAATAAAGGAGAAAAGGCTAGAAAACAAACGAAATACAAAAAAACTACAAAATAAGAGAGGAAAGGTAAACCTAAGCAACAAAGCTTAAAACTAAGCATTTATTGAGCAAGAAAGCTATGAAAAGAGGATTAAATCAACATAAATTCTCATAAAATGGGTGCCATTTATGACACCCATCAAGTCCCCGAATATTCGTAATTTCTTCACTCCCAATGCCAAAGCTGTTTCAAGGCCTACCACGCATGCTTCGTATTCAGAAGCGTTGTTGGTAACGTCGAAATCTAGCTTTATGGAGATTGGAACGTGCTCTTCTTTAGGTGATACTAATAATACTCCAACGCCACATCCTTTTTGGTTTGAGGCTCCATCGAAGTATAAGGTCCAAGTACCATCTTCCGTGACCATCAAGTCTTTGTCTGGAAATTCATTGTCGTTTATTGGCGTTGAATCTTCTATTGGAAAGTCCGCTAGAAAATCTGAAACCATAGATCCTTTTATAGCTTTTTGAGGCATGAATCTTACATCGAACTAGGCTAAGTTGACTATCCATCTTGATATGCGCCCATTGAGTGTAGACTTCTCGAATAAATTCTGGAGTGGATCTAATCGAGAAACTACAAAGACTATATGCACGAGCATGTAATGTCTTAACTTGGTTGTGGCCCACACCAATGCGAGGCACTATATCTCAAGTGGTGTATAGCGTACCTCATACTCGAGCATTTTTTTACTTAGATAGTAGATTGCATTTTCTTTGCCTTATACTTCTTGTGCGAGCATGGCTCCCATTGTTTCTTTGGTGACTGTTAAGTACAACCTAAGAGGTATTCCTGGAAGTGTTGGTGCCAATACGGGAGGATTTGCGAGGTAGGCTTTGATCTTTTCAAAGGCTTTTTGACACTCGTCATCCCATATTACTAGTACATTCTTTTTAAGCTTTTTGAATATTGGTTCACATATTGTTGTCAATTTTGATATGAACCTGCTAATGTATTGCAACCAGCCAATAAATCATTGAATTTGCATCTCGATTTTGGGCGGTGGCATTGTCATGATTGCTTTGATCTTGGTTTGGTCTATCTCTATTCCTCTAGAGCTTATGACATAACCCAAAAGCTTGCCTGAGGTGACTCAAAAGCACACTTGGATGGGTTCAACCTCATGTTGTATTTTCTTAGCCTTTTGAAAAATTTTCTCAAGGCTATTTGATAACCTGGGAGATCTTTTGACTTCACAATCATATCTTCCACATATACTTCAACTTCTTTGTGCATCATGCCATGCACCAAGGCAGTCGCTGCTCGTTGGTAAGTAGCACCCACGTTTTTCAACCCGAATGGCATTATCGTGTAGCAGTAAGTAACCCATGGTATTATGAAGGTTGTTTTCTCCATGTCTTCTTCTTCCATGAGAATTTTATTATACCCCGCGTATCCATCCATTAACGAGAGCAGTGCATGATTCGCTGTATTATCTACCAGAATATCGATGTGTGGTAAAGGGAAGTCGTCCTTTGGACTTGCCTTATTTAGATCTCGATAGTTGACACACATTCTTACCCTTCCATCCTTTTTTGGAACTGGGACGACATTGGCAACCCGTTCAGGGTATTTGGATACTTTGATAAAATCTGTAGTTATTTGTTTTTGAACTTCTTCTTTTTTTTCAGAGCTACGTCGGGTTTCATTCGACGCAAATTTTGTTTTACAGGTTTATTCCTGGAATTAGCGGTCTAGTGTGTTGAGCTATTTCTCTATTAATTCCTGGCATATCTTCATATGACCATGCAAATACATCGATGAATTCTTTAAGCAGATTGATTAAATCGGTTCGTTCTTGTTCATTAAGTGTTAATTTGATTTTAACTTCTCTTTTATTGGTTGAATCATTTGAGATATCAACCGTCTCAGTTTCCTTAATTATCGTTGTTTTCTTTTCAAGTGTTTCCATTGCTTTAATAAGTTCTTTGTCATTTTCATTGTTAGTTAAGCAATGCTCGTCATCTTTGGTTAAAGAAAAACACAAGGAGTAAGAGGAAGAAGACATATTATTAAACTCTGAAATCATTACATCGAAAAGAGATATGTCCTGAGGGTTTTGATTGCTAGCAATCCTAGGGGAAGAGATAGAAGAAGGGGGTGCTAGAATTAAAGACTTAGATAACTCTACAGTAAAAGACTCTGACTCCGACTCTGACTAAGATGACTCTACGAACATCGGTCCTTGCCCCGTCGTAATGGAGATTCTCCTTCCGCTTGAGTAATCACCTTGAATGTCTTGCGCCACCCTTGTAGTGATCCTTCTGCTGGAGTGATGAGCCTTGAGGGATCAAAGCTTTCGCTTTGTAGGACCGTTTGGATGAGCGAGGAGTTATCCTCTATATACGTCGGCTCATCTTTTTCTCGCCCAAATAGTAATCCCATGACATTAAAGTCAAATCATGGGGGTGCTTTCTCCTTCTGGATAGGAGTTGGGATTTCATCTAGAAAATAGCAATCTAGGAAGATTTCGAATCCCGGTTGCCTTATTCCATTTACGACAAAAGGTTCGGGAAATTCGTAGCATGGATAGTCCTCTCCTTCTTTTATGAATTTACCATTGAGAGTAAGAGGATACTGATCCATTGGGATTGCTTTCTTTTGGATGCGAGCGTTTCTACGCGCATTTGACCTTTCCTGGGCTCACTTGAGATCTTCATGTGTCGGTTTGAAACCAAGTCCGAAAGTGTCTAATTTAGGGAGGCCAGGCGATTCCAGCGATTTTTCTATTCCTTTCTTCTTTCCTAGAGTCGTCCCAGGAAATGTCCTTGTTTCTTCATAATAGTGTTCACTATCATATTGGAGTGGGGGTCGTGGCAGAGAGGGGTCCTTTCATCCTCCTTGATTGAGGAGACCTCTTCATTAAAGCCCCACAAATCTTCATCATCTTCATCGTGCTCCACATTAATTTATGGATTTTCTATAGCCTTAATCCTCATGGGTGAAGCATCGATCGTAATGGCAATTCCTCCAACTATGGCCTTTACCTGTTGGTGGAGAGATGAAGGGACGGCCTTTAGGTTATGAAGCCAAGGGCGTCCCAACAATAAATTGAATAAAGCCTTAATATCTACTACTTGAAATGTAGTAGCATGTTCTATCGCTCCCGCCGTTATATTCATAGCAATCTTGCCAAGTGCTTGACGACGAGTGTTATCATAAGCTCTTATTCCTTGTGTTCACGGGGTTAAGTCTTCATCCTTTTGTAAACACAAATTTTAAATCTGCAAAATATAGATTCAAAATAAATGAAACAAAGTGTTAATTTTATGAATTTGATTATTTTAGGTACAATCTCTAATTAGCTCCTCTGATTCGATCTCCACTTTGACTTTGACGTAATTCACAAATTGACTTGATTCTTTAACGAAGGCCGTCGAGGCTTGATCTCGATCAAAGATTTGATGCAAACCTTTGACTTATCTTTGATGTAAACCTTTGACTTGTTGTTGATGTAGACCTTTGACTTGAATTCTTGATTGAGGGCCGACGAGGCTGATCTCGATCAAATTAAAGACTATTTGATGTAGAGATTTTGATGATTTGAAGTCCTTCTTTCCTTCGTGTTGAGGGTCGTGGAGGCTTGATCTCTTCAACGAGTGATCTTCTAGAGTAGAACAGCACGTCGAATGCTTGTTGTTCATCTTCTAGTTTTTGAGAGGAATTCTTTGGAGAAGTTTAGAGTATTTGATGAGAGATTTTCTCTGAAGAGGTTTATAGTATTTGAGAGGTTTTCTCTGTATTTTAATTCTCTCTAGTTTTCTCTCTCTCTAGGTTTTAATCTGTAGGTTTTTCTCTCTGTTTTTTTTCTCTTCTTCCCCCCTCAAATGAAATTGAGAGAGCTCTATTTATAGAGTGAGTGACTCTTAGGGTTAGGATTTGATGTACAAATGGAAGTGGGCCTGCTTGATTATCATAACCCATTTTTAATGGGTTTTAACTATTATATAAACAATATAAATAAAATAACTAAAATGGGCCAATTTAATTTATTCATCAAATTTAATTAGTTTTAATTAATAGTCAAATTAGCATCAAGTTAATAAATTGACTTTTGACCCATATATTATCCAATGTGGCACATATATAAATTTTCCGTGCCTACAAATTGCCCCCTTCGAGATCGGTCACGGACACGATTTAAAGTATTTGATCGTAATCGGGCTCGAAATCTTGTTTTGTAACCAAATTCAGCTAGACACCCAACCAAATTTAGCTAGCTACTTGTCGTATATTACAAAAGCATATTGCCCCTTAGTTGATTAATCTATGATATTATGGAATCTATCATGATTTCAAGATTAACCACCAAAATATCATTTCACGTCTAGTAACATTGAATTTATTTTTTTTTTTATTTTTTTTTTTATATGTATGACATATACTTGGCCTTGCTGTGATAGACTTTGAAAGCCACTTAGTATCCCACGAAATTCTCAACAACATGGAAAGATAGGTTTAAAACCACCAATCTCTATCGTGTTGGAGATTATCATTATCAGCTGCATACTTGCATCATGGCTATAAATACATCCAAAGGTGAATGGATTTTCTACACCAAAGTCACCGTAGTATTTGCTACTAGCTGTGACTTGCCTTCTAGCAACACGCCATGAAGAGAGCTGCTACTTCAAGGTCTCAAGCCGACACCCGCAATGGAGCTACAGAGGAGCACCACTTACTTGACATCAATAGCATGGGGAAGCGGTCACGCCACGAGACACAAACGATGCCAGCATGCCACACTAGAGGGAGCTACTAGGCCACGCCACACCACAACAACTTATTTGATGCATGTCACGCCGCAATAGCTACTTTCATGTCACACTATAGGGACCTATCAAGCCATGCCACACCACAAAAACTTACGCCGCAACACCATGCCAGGAAGATGAGAAGCCAACATCGAAAGTCGTCTTCGTCGATGCCTTGGCGATGACCTTTTTTTTTTTTTTTTTTGCAGGTTTGTTATCTTTCGTTGTTCCATGGAGAGCCACCATGAATCTCGGAAGCCTCATGTCTCGACCAGAAGTGTACCTTTAGAAATTTGACAATGGGGGACAATGTCGATAATTCAACTAACATCAACCTGTTTTTAAAAACGAGTACAAAATATGAATAATTCGGGTACATACTTGTTTAATACTAAAAAGTTACAATCCCAAAATCTATTGAATAATACAATTTGGTTACATAGTACTAAAATATTCTCCGAGTCTTCAGTTTTTGATTTCGATCAATGATATCTTCATCGGGGACTTGCAAAAACACTTCTTTCTCAATGTAAGTAACCAACAATCATTCATAAGTTGATCACCCATACTATTTCTCAATTTACTTTTGATGTATGTCATTTCCGAAAAGACTCTTTCAACACTTGCCGTAGCAACGGGAAGAATCAACATTAACTTGATAAGCAAATGAATAAGATGATAAGTCTCATGCAACTTGGTTTTGACAAGCATCTTTGAAAGAGAATTAATGTCATGCAAATCTCAAAAAATTTCATCATCTAACATGATTTGCTTGAACACTTCAAGTTGATCATCAAGACTCAACAACTCATTATGTGAAAAGTCTTCGGGGTACAAAGAAGCAAGTTTAAGCACCTTGTAAAAAAAAATTTGGACAAGTATTAATATATAATAACAATAAGACAAGTATCTTTTATATATGAGGTTAGCTTTTATACCTTTTCTTTGTCAAATGATGAAAAATTATCCTTAGGACTTAAGCTAGTCATGCAAGTAAGTAGCTCCATGTTTTTCTCATTAAACCGATTATCAAGTTCTTGAAGATGCAAATTAATCACTTCCAAGAAAATTCCACCACGAAAATGATGTTCATTTGTAGCTTTCTCAACAGAACGCCTTGATCTTCCATGTGGAACATAATTAGCCTCCATATTGGGAACATCAATTTTGTGTTTATTGCAAAATGAAGTTACTTTTTTCAAGAGAATATCCCAACCTTGTTCCCTCATTTTTTGTAACACTTTTGTTGTAGAAGAAACAAGTCTCATGGCATTAACAATATCTTGTTCATTTCTTTGCAAAGCAATACATAAATCATTAGTGTATCCAAAAATAGTCAACATCAAGTGAGCCATGAAAATAAAACCAAATGATTCTAATGAACCCAACACAATTTGAGCTTTGAATTTATCCTCCGATGAACCATGTTTTCCAATGTGCACAAGCACCTCAACAATTGCAGGAAACAAGGAGATAATGTTTAGAACACATTTGTAATGTAATCCCCAACGTGTATCTCTGGGTCATTTCAAACCAACTTCTTGATTCAATCCCGAACCACTATCAATTTTCCCCACTTCTAATGCTTGAGCAACCTTTTGAGCTTGACTTTTTTGAATCATTTCTCTTCTTTTACAAGAAGCCCCAATTACATTCAACAAGTTTTTAGTAATTTCAAACACCCAACCACAATTATCTTTTTTTTTTTAGCAACGGCAACAAGAGTCAATTGAAGTTGATAAGCAAAACAATGAATGTAATAAGCTCTAGGAGTGTCATTCATAATCAAAGTCTTAAGTCCATTTATCTCACCTTTCATGTTCTTAGCACCATCATATCCTTGCCCTCTAATCATTGATGGAATCAAGTTGTGTTCCATAAGCAAAGAGATTATTGCATTTTTTAAAGATAAAGCGGTAGTATCACCAACATGAACAATGCCTAAAAATCTTTCCATCACCGCTCCACTTTTTCTATCAACAAAACGCAAAACAAGAGCTAATTGTTCTTTTTGTGACACATCACTTGACTCATCCGCCAATATTGCAAAGTATTCATCACCAACCTCTTATACTATAAGCCTAGTTGTTTCTTTTGCACAACAAGTTATAATGTCCTTTTTAATCTTAGGAGAAGTCAATACACAATTTTTAGCAGCATTTTCTTGAGTATGATTTTTAACTTCCTCCACTTTTCCCCTTAGCCATTTCAAAAGTTCAAGGAAATTACCCCGATTGTATGACTCCTCACTTTCAAGATGCCCACGAAATGCCAAACCTTGCCCCCAAAGAAATCTCAAACATGTTAATGATGCTTTCAAACGAATATGATATTTTTGAATTTGTGCCTCACTTGCATTGTCAAATATTTTGACAATTGATTTTTTCCCCCTCTCTTAGATTCACATACTTCTCATAAGCAACATTATGAGCACTATTCACTCCACAAACATGCGTATCAAACCTCTTCGGTTTATTCCATGCCCTTAATCCTCCATTAACAAATACATCACCGCCACAATTATTTTCAACTTCATGCTTGAACAAGTAACATACAAAAAAAAATGCGGCATCTTTTGAAATACTATATTCAAGCCAATCTCTTTTATTAAACCACTTCACACTAAAATGACGTTTTCCGGAGCATTGTCTTTGAGGTAAATTATGAGTTTTTGGTTGACAAGGTTTTTTTTTTAAGAATGTAGGCTCTCCTCCCTGGATTTCTTTGATTAGGGTGATAGTCCATTATGTCCATTCTTAGTCCCGGATCATGAGGAAGAAGTTCAACATCATAAGCCAATTCCTCTTCTTCCTCCTCTTCCTCTACCTCAAATGAATCTCCCATTTCTATATCCACATCAAATTCTTCATCCAAATCATTCACATCAATTGGTTCATCCACATCATTCACATCAATTGGTTCATCCACATCATTCACATCAATTGGTTAATCCACATCATTTACATCAATTGGTTCATCCACATCAATTGGTTCAATACTAATGGTTTCATTTTGCATACTATGATTAGGAGGTGTCTCACTTTGTGTGGGTGAAGAACAAGAATTATCTTGTGATTTCAATTTTTTAAACATCATTTGACGAAGATCCGCTTGTTTTTCCATTGTCCTAGACTTGTTTGAAGAACTTGACATATCCTAATTCATTTAAAAATTAAGCTTCAATAATATTCAATAATTATTTTTTTAACAATAAGCATCTAAAATCTAGAAAACCAAATCACAAACTAATTCAATACCCAAAATTACAAACTAATTTACATCTTAATTAAATTCACAAACTACTTGTCTACTTTCAAAGTTTCAATTTTACATTTACCATATTCACCAAATAATTCACAAAATAACAAATTCAATTCACAACTAAGAACATATAAACTAAATCACAAATTAATTCAAAAACATGATTACATAAACATAATTACTCAATACTCATAAACTTTTTTTTTTCTTAATCAAAGATTAAAATTAAGAAATAAAGATAAAAAAAGAAAAAAATTGACCTGTGGCTGTGACGCTGTGTGGGCTGCCGGAGCGGCAGGGCTGGCCTGTAGTGGCGGCGTCCGGCGGGCCTCGGTGGATGGAGGTGCGGTGCAGCGGTGGTCTTGGTGGAATGGTGGGAAAGATCTAGTTTCTCTCTCTAACTCTCTTAGGTTTTTTAATTTTTAAAGTTTTCTCTTTCCTCCTTTTTTTCTTTCCTTCTTTCTTACCCACGATGATGCCTTTCTGTTTGTTTTTTTTTTCTTTTTTTCAAATTCTCTAATTTTATTTTTTTTAAAGTGGGGGACAATGTTCCCCACTTGTCCTCACGTGGGTCCGCCCCAGATACGGACGACACTACTAGAGCATCGACACTATGGAAGAGGTACAATACTGCCGAAAGTACTCGTTCTCACTTCAGCTCACCAAGCCGCACTACGGAGCCTCGACGCACCACTGCACACCGGAGTTCACACGCCTCTCGTATGCGTAATCTTAAACGTGTAGACTACTATACGGAGTATTTCTTGAGCGACATGATAACGGGTCGTCTCATCATATGCTTAGAAATTTGAAGTTGCTTGCAACTTGCTTTAATGAGTCCTGAGAAAGAAACTAAGTAAAGTACCTCTTGTTTATTAATGTCAGACCTTTGACATTAATATCATGATGATCATGAAATATTGACAACAAACACCACAAGCCACGTGACTGTCATTCTCCTCCATTTTTTTTTTTTTTGAATGATAATCATGATCATGATATCACTAGTCTTTCCTTTTGTTTTTAGAACGCTAATCATGATAGGATCATGATATGACGTGACTTTCCTTTTTTTTTTTGAAAAAATGATAATCATTTGTATTGATAAATGATTATCATGATTCATGATCACTTTGGCAAACAAATGACAAGGCTTTCTTTTTTTTTTCCTTTTTTTTTATACTTTGGCGCTTTAGCAACCTTTTTCAAATCTTCAAAATTTCTCGGTGAAGTATTGGTGTTTGATAGCTTTCTCCAATCTTCGTGGTTAATGTCATGGGTTGATCTCAAGTGCTTGGAAGCTTTCTCCGAATCTCAAGGACTTTGGCGGACCGATGTTTGGTATAACTTTCTCCAATCTTTGTGTTCAACACTTTAAGTTGATGATATCTGGTGCTTAGAACTTAGAAGCTTTCTCCAGATCTCAAGAACTTTGGTGGACCATTATTAGTGCTTGGAAGCTTTCTCCAATCAATGTCCATGTTTGACAATTTACGAATCTTCAATGCTTGCAGCTTTCTCCAGATCTTTAAGTAAACTTAGTGAAGTATTGGTGCTTGGTAGCTTTCTCCAATCTTCGTGTTGAACGCTTTGAGTCGACCTTCGGTGCTTGAAAGCTTTCTCTGGATCTCAAGAACTTTGGTGGATCGGTGCTTCGTAGCTTTCTCCGATGTCCATGTTCAACTTGATTTGTGAATCTCCGGTGCTTGCTGCTTTCTCCGGATTTTCATGTAAATTTTGCGAAGTATTGGTTCTTCAAAGCTTTCTCCAATCTTCAAATGACATCATTTGACTTTCTAGGAACAAATTGAAACTTGCCCCCAATCTTGTAGTTTATCATTGTTTTAACGGGTGCCCGTGAATATATTTTATATATCCAAGATGCCTACGTACCAATAAGTAATTGAAATTTACTTTTTGGATCAAGCCGGACGTAGTTCAATTTGTGTGATTTTTTTTTTGTTATGCAGTTTAGGCTGTTGCTTGGAGCTTTGAGGACCGCTTTTTCATCTTTGCCCACTTTGGATGTTGATGACCATTTAATCGGATTTGTCTTCACGATTGGCTATCGTAAACTCCATCTCATGAGCTCGAGTCGCCAAGTCTTGGAATGTTTTGGGCTTGCTGCCTTGCAAAATGTAAGCAAGATCCAAATTCATGCCTTGGATGCACATCTTGACTGCTAAAATTTTGGACAAATGATCTTTGCATTGAAGGCTTAATTCTCGCCATCGATTAATGTAGTCCACGATTGGTTCATCTTCCAACTGGTTGGTTTGTGTCAACTCAATCATGCTGACAACGCGCCGAGTGCTGAAGAAGCGATCAAGAAATATTTCTTCCATTTGCTCTCAACTGTCGATGGATTTTCGAGGTAGATCTGTGTACCAATCGAAAGCAACAGTCTTGAGAGAGCGAACAAATTGCTTTACAAGTAAATCTCCAAAGGTCCCAGCATTATTGCAGGTCTCTATGAAGTGCGCAATATGTTGATTGGGGTTTCCTGTGCCATCGAACTGCTAAAATTTCGGAGGTTGATAGCCGCTTGGCATTCTTATTTTATCAATTCTCTTTGTGTAAGGCTTGTTGTAGCGACTATCTTTGTTGACGTCTTTGTCGAGCTGTTGTTTAATAGCATTAGCTATCATCTCATGGATTGCTTGGAAGCTGAATGAATCACCATGGGGCCTTTTTTTTAACTTTCTTCGTCTTCGTGCTAAGTTCTGACTCGCTACTATCACCTTCACTTTCTTCGATTGGGCGCTTCTCGAGTCTTCTTTCAAGCACATAAATTTGTTCGCTTTGGAGTTTAATTTGTGCCCCCTTTTCTTCATTGTCCTTGATGAGCTTCTCAAGAAGTAGTTTCATATTTGCTAACTCCTCCATGATGGTGTTTGCTTCAATGGCCATCACATTGACGACGTCGTCTTGTGCATCGTTCTTTGTCATCATTTCTTCTACGTGCTTCGTCATTTGATTTGTGGAGAAAGAGATGAGAGGTAGAAATGGTCCCACCGAGCGTGCTAAATTTGTAAACACAAATTTTAAATCTGCAAAATATAGATTCAAAATAAATGAAACAAATTGTTAATTTTATTAATTTCATAATTTTTGGTACATTCTCTAATTTGCTCCTCTGATTCGATCTCCACTTTGACTTTCACGTAATTCACGAATTGACTTGATTCTCGAACGAAGGCCGTCGAGGTTTGATCTCGATCGAAGATTTGATGCAAACCTTTGACTTATATTTGATGTAGA